ACGTTTAAAATAATTGCATCACAATTTTAAAATGCGAGGCTTTTGCTTTTAAGAAGGTTTAAGACGCTGAGATTATTTCCTGGAAATCAAGAGTGTGTTCAGTTAACAGCCGCTGAGCATAAGTTTTTATGCCATTTGTAAATTTATTAATTACTTTCCTAATATCTTTGATAAGTTCTTTGATTGAAATTTTAACTAATAGGAAATACCATAAATAATACATATTTATTAAATAAAAATTCTAACAAATTACCTACTTCAATTCCGCGTCACAAGGTCGTAATGCCGTCGACAGTACAATATACTTTATGATGCTTATTTATTATTTATGGACGTAACTTAAATATAGCGAATAAGTTGCATTAATTTAATCTAATATTTAAGTAAACAGCAGCATGTCTAATTTAATTCCAGTAATCCACAATTCAACCGAGGACTAGATCAGACAACAATATTTCGAAATTTGCAGCTTCGTTCACAATTACCAAGTAATGGATTCTGAGAACACTGTGAGTCGTCTTATAATAGTTTCAGTTTACGGATAGAGTATTATTTATGGCGATACAGTTAGCATCTTGAGCACTCCACGTTAACATTGTTCCATTAAAGTTACTGTTAAAACACGTAAATTTTATAATAGACATGTAAACAGTATAAGAAAGCACTATTGATTTATTATCGTATAAGTGAAACAATATCTTGGAATTGTTGTTAAGTTTCAAAGTTGTTCATATATATATTCTCGATTCTAAAACTAAAAAGTATTGACGGTTATCTGCAATCGCTACAATTCATTGAACCCGCCACCTTTTAACTAATGAACGTTAGGCTTTAAATTTCAATTCGCATTATGGACGTGGGCTGAACCCTATTGTGCTCCGATATGTACTTAAATTTCACGACATTGAATGCTTCTTGGAATTAGAATCGACTCATAGAAGATAATGCAATCCATTTTAAATTACAACAATTCTTGCACAGATAACAAAGGTATGACATTTTTTCACGATTGTAGACCCGTTCCAATTCATCCAATTGCGAATATATTTTAACTGCAGACGATACAGCTGTTTTAAGAATAAATACTTTGATATATTTTTTAAACAAACATCATTGAAAATATGATGCAATTTGCTTTATTATGGACTTATGTTCCTTTCTCACGCTTTATTCTGTAAAAGTTGAAGTTGTTAAAACAATGTTATTTAAAACGTGATTTCGATTAATTCAATGACGACTTGCCAAACGTAATCATGAGTATACAGAACCTTTGCCTTTGAATTCCAAAAAAAAATAATGTTCAAAGAAATTGGCAAGAAATCTAGTGGCTGACATAATTTCACTGTATTCATTAGTATTAAAAAAATGAATGTCAAGTTGTTTGCTTCTAAAAGGTTTATAAGGTTAATTAGATTAACTAAAGTTATTTATATCCCAAATCAAACATCCATGTAGCAACAAAAGTAAAGTGATGGTCATCGTACACAGGGTGTGCCCTTGTGACTGATAGACAGTAGCTTTAGTACACAAGAGAAAGCCATCAGTGCACGCCACTGTATACACATATTTTTACCCGCAACTCTAGATTGAAAGTTTAAAATCCCGATCACTGGTCCTGCCATCACTTCCCTCAACAACGATTATCTGTATTCACTTTTATTTCCTGTTATTGAAAACATACATAAAAGTGTAGAACAAGAACACGGCGACAATATTTTATTTTAAAAAAAAAGTGGATTCGACCTTGAAATATAATTGTTTCCAAACACATTAAACAGACTTGTTTTCGATGACAACACAACAGGTTACAAGCAGGTATCGCAAAACGTTAAGTATTGTTCGTGCATAATTATACGTATAATGTTCTCGCTGAGGATTTGTAGACATGTATAAGTATAAATATAATGTTAATTTAAAGAGTCAGTTTGCGCTGAACGGCTGCGAGACGAAGATTTCGGCTGGGAACCGCCCGCGGCTCGCGTGATCCGTTCACTAACAAAAAACATAAAGATTCACTCCACGCTGACCTGCCACACAAATAGTTCATTTCTAATCACATGAACCGGAAAAAAAGAACATTGTAAAACGCTTTCGTCACGATAGATACACATCACGGTTTTGTTTTATTGAAAACGCACTCTAATAAAATATGAGTAGTAATTCATAAAAGTTTTAGTTACATTTACCAGATTAATTACTATCGAAACATTATAAGTTATCAAAATTGTAAAAAAGAATATTCCCCTTTTGCTTTTCTCGGCATTTGCTATCGAATAAAATTACTTTAAATTATTTTGGTACCATGTAAGGTACATGGTACCAAAATTGTCAAAATAACCAATTAATTGTCTTCCGTTGACAATTCAATATGCTCGAGAAACAAAGCTCGACGTTCAAATCCATGTGCCGGCAGCAATCAAGTTGTTAATTTTTAATGTGGTGAAAGAATACAACGTGAGATAATTGGCATATTTTAGAAATGCGAACAAAAAATATGTGTAGTATCCGAAGTGAGGTAGACTATACCCTAATATCCTCTGAACAGAGGAGGCCTTTGCCCGGCAGTGGGACATAATTATATAGGTTGTTACTTTGCTTTCCTTTTTTTAGATTCATTCATGTTAGAATATGCAATATTACTTATCGAGGCATTCCCGATGTCGTTTGACAACAAATACATACCTACATATATACTTTGCATCATTATTTGGTTTCAAAACATTCTTTAAAAATCTCTCTTATGGATATAACGAATTCATTTCATAATTTCATTCATAATGCAAAACTTACGGATACATATCAATTTAAATTTAGAAAAAAATTATGGGTAACGTCACTTTCTTTGTTCTTTGCGTGGCTTGCTTTAAACAATGTACCTCGTACATAAGTACATATACTAAGACATCTTAACAATTATTACTGTGGTAGGGCTGGCTTGTCCGGGGAAAAACCAAAGTCTCAAATGAGAGGGGAGAGAAGTGGAAGTACTATATTTTCAGGTTTCGTCTGGCGATTGAAGTGAGACGGGGCGCACTTTATGAGCGTCTTAAAGGTTGGCAACGCCGTTCAGGAGTAATACATATCCATGGGCGATGATATTCACTTAACATCGGGTAAAGCGGTTCACCTGATGTTATTTGATTTCCATCGGCCACTTTTCTACGTTTGGCAAATTCACTAATACACATTTTCGCTAATACACTATTTTTGTAATAGTTTATTTTATTGAAACTAGTGGTGGCTGAGTGAATGAAGTAAAAGTGAAAGTTTATTGATTGAATGTATTTTATGCATAGTTTAAAAAAAAAATAGCGTTCTGCACTCTTTCTCCATATAAACTATAAGTGTGGGAAATATCATACTCCTCCGTCCGCGCTATTGTCGTAAAAAGTGGCACAAAATTTTTGCTTCACGTATTAATATATGATATAATATTAATATATAATATACTAGTGAACCGGACAGGCGTTGTCCTGTACACACGATTCGAAAATTTTAAACTTTTTTGAATAACTTTATGAATCTAAACCATTCTCGAATCCACCGGAACATACACAAAAAATTTCATTAAAATCGGTCCAGCCGTTTAGGAAGAGTTCAGTGACATACACACGTACAGTAGAATTACTTATTAATAATTATACGGCGACTTCCCGTGCAGATGGCTCAGGATCGTACTTCGTGGCAGTCTATGGGGAAGGCCTATGTTTAGCAGTGTACTCAAACAGCCTGAAATGATGATATTACGTCTTAATATATAAGATAAACGAATTCATAAAGGTTTACTGAAATCCGGAAATATAACAACTTTCATTTCTCTCCTCTTAATTTGATCGTCTTTATGCCGTTACAACACGAACATAACAAAGAAAACGTTACAAACAATAAATAAAAGAGTTTCAGACATTTTTTACAAACATGACCTATGACTCTCCGCCATTAATTGCGCGACGTAACTTTTAAGCGGTTACTCAATGCTGTACTTTTTATTTTTTTATTTTATTTATTTGGTTTGCACTATTTATATTATTATATTATATTATTATGATTGCACTAGATTTTTTTTTAATTAATGAATTTAGCTTTTTACGGGAAGAGGAAGGTTGGACCCATTATTATCAATAACATAAAAATATTACAACGCACGATAAGTTATATAAATCATCTATTTATATACTATACAATTACTGGCTTCAGCTTAGGGTACAAAAATAGTTGCAATGTACTACGTTTACTATACTTGATAGAAATTAGATTGAAGAACTATACTGCTCCTCTAATCACTGTACATTTTTGGCACATCATCAATCTTCATTTCTTCTTGTAAGCGGTGCCTAGCGATTTATTTTACATCGTGGATGAGAGTGAAAGTCACATGATTGTTGTTCATACTGTTATTATGCAGTCGGCGTTAAAGAATTATTATTCACATTTTACTTTACATGCAAAAAACAAAAGTTTTTATATGTAAAAATAAGATAACTTTTTACGTTTTCAATTTGCTCTTAGTTATTTTTTTTTTCATCTTATATTCGTTTGTTGATTGTAGCTATTATGTGCAATCAGCTGATTTCAATCGAAAATGAAATTATTGTGCCATTTGAAAATGTTCATATATTAAGATTTTGTTTCTTTTTATTTTACAAGTACCTATTTTATGTGTTTCAACTTATTAGGAAGGATTTCTATATTTTAGTTCCGTTAAGAGGATACTGAATGGCAAGGACACCAGACAATAACAGAACGATGTAGTACTTTCAATAAACAAAATAAAAGGAAAAACTAACCCTCCTTAGAACATTAATCCTTAATTTATGCTTACAAACAGCAGTACATCGCGGTCTTCCTATCGCTAAGTAGCTGCTTTTTCATATTGGTTTTTAGTACGTCGTTAAATATCACCAGTCTATTATTAACAGCTTCTATTTGGGTCCCAACCGAGTTTCAATAAGAGCTACACGATAAAGGTTCACCGAGAGCAATACGCGTTTCTCGCCGCGATGCTATGTCGTCGGTGCCGCCCGTGCGCGCGCGATGCCTTTCACCGCGGGTCGCAGGTCAGGGCGCGCTTGGGTGCTCCGCCCTCGGCCGAGGAGCCCCGCTCCCGCCCCTCCCCCGCCCCTCGCCCCTCGGCCCCCTCTAACGGCCCGCAACCACTGCCCTATTCAGCTGTCGCCGCGCGAACAGCACCGCCGCCGCCGGGAACACCGCTTATGAATTATTCCATTGCCCCGTTACGTTTTGAAACAATTACAAAACAGTACCGATTCAAATCATAAGTTTCACGGAGCCCTTTGTGAGCCCTCAAAGTTGCATTAGTTCCAGTTCGCCGGTGCTATCGTCGAATGTACATCTAATCTTCTTGCTCACTAATTTGAATGGTCGCTCTTATTCGTACTTCAAATGTGGAATCGAGGATTATGAATTGTATAATGCAATTACCGAACCTATTGAATGGGCGTGGATCATTCGACTGCAAAATGATGTGTGGAATGACCGGGCGGATGATATCACCACGTACAGTTGTAGAAATTCAACGCGTCTGGCAATAATTTCCTGTTACTAAAGATAATGAGCGAATCGATTTGCGTTAAGCGTGCATTAGGTTACGTTCGGTTAGTTACGGTTCGTTAGTTTAATTCGGCTACGGCAGCGGAAGCTGTACATAGCGAGCTTTCGGCGGTTCCCACGGCGCCTCTCGCTCCGCTGTTACACAATGAGAGGTGAACGCGGATCTAAGCAATCGCTTAACCTCGCCCACTACACGGCTCCACAAGCGCACCGGACCGATGCGCCACAGATATCTTAGGAAAGCTTTCGCGGAAATCGTAATGCGTTTCGGATTAATTGATGAAAAAATGCATAATGATTTCTTGTACTTCGACACTGTTAAATGAAATGGTCCTTAAGGATTTTATCGAATCAAATTTATAATCTGTCCCGTGAACGATGCTGTAATATTCAAAAAGTGAGAGTTTTTAAATTTAACGCAAAAAATATAGTCAGACAATATAATAAAAAAAGACTTATCCGTAAAAATTTATACCTCTTTAGCGTAAAGACTATAAATACAAATGATAATTAACGGTTTAATTAAATAATTTGGAATTATTGTTAAATGTCAAAAGTTGTTATTGGTTGTCATGGTAGCGCCGTGAAGTTGCATGCATCATGTCGCTTTTTGAGGATCGGCGTGCGCGCGCATCGTAAAAATTTTACTCTCATAACTTTTCCAAACGCGCCAAAAGAAGTATAACTTCAAAAAAACGTATTCTCATGGAGACTGCCGACAGAAGTGAAAACATAAAACAATATCAAAATTAAAACTGTGTAATATTTTATTCTACATATTTTATAGGCCCTCCGAACGGAACAGTATTTATGTCATATCCATAACTACAAATATATTTTCCGTATTCCTTTTTTTAAAATAACTAATGGAAAGCGATTGATGACGATGGCGTGAGTTTTACGCTTTTTGTTCACTCAAAAAGTACACATATTACACAGTGTATATATAGCTCATGGAAAGCGTTTGGTAACGACGACGCGAGTTCCATAATTTTTGTTCACTCAAAAAGTGATGAACTCGTCTAAAGAAGTTTTCACTTCATAAATTAAATTAAAGGTACAGAAGTATTTGAAATACATCGAATTGTTGACTCAGTTTCTCGAGGAGGACTATGTTCAGTTGAGGACTAAAACATACAGAAATTACTCATTTTGTCGTCTTTTTTATTGTATAGTTGTTTTGCTTGCCGTCACATAGTTAAAGAAATGGGATAATTGCGTGCAAACATACATGTATGTAAGAACACAAAAAAGTTTCATTGGGCAGACATAGCATGTATCTATCGCCGAATTAAAAAAAAAAACATATATATGAAACGAATCGTGGAAAATAAAACCACCTTTTAAGATAGTCGATGAATAAGAAGAATTGATTGTCGCATAACTCAAAGTCGCATTATGGTCGGAGCCGCGGGCGTAGTGATGGGCGCTTTTGATACATCCGGCAGTTGGTGCCGGGGTCACGACCGTTCTTTTTGTGTCCGACACTAGACTACACGCGACGCGTGATTATGTTCGGCGCGCTTAATTATGCTGTCACACCGTCACTTGATGGGTAATACTCGCAGTGAAAGCGAACGATACCGGCCGTAATGATGGAGGAAAATGTGCAAGTGTGAACTCGGTGATAGGCCGTGAACGCGCAATTATCGTATACGGTATCCGAAAAGATTGTGTTAAACCGATCGTAGTTATATTCTCTTTGACCATACGAGGTGCATGAGATTTCAAACAGCAGTTTTTACATAATGGCTATGAAGAAATGTCTAATTCTCCTCTACACAATTGCGTCTTTGCCGTAGTACCCTACATTCAAATCAACCCAAATAAACAACCTAAGATACTTTCCCTCTTATTTTCTATGTTCATACCTGGTTAAAGGAAAGTTGGCAATTTGCTTCACAAATGTATATTGATTTAGATAACTCCTAATTTTGCGAGTTATCGTTTATTTATTAAAATAAGGTTTTAATTGTACCGGTTCTATGATAGCGTTTAAAGGATTTTTCTTTTATAGACACGGCTAGAACTAGATTTTAGGGTTCCATACCCATAGAGTAAAACAGGACCCTATTACTAAGAATCCTCTGTCTGTCTGTCAGTCTGTCTGTCTTTCACCAGGCTATATCTCATAAATCGTAATATTTAGTGAGTTGATATTTTCACAGGTGATGTATTTCTGTTGCCGTGATAACAACCAATCTCAATGATTTTTTTTGCTGTTTTATAGATAATGGTACCTGGCCGGTTTTTTTACGTATGCTAACATAAAATTTGAAGTCAAATTAATCATACCATAAATTACTGAATTGGTATAAATTTCATTTCCGGGTCAGTTAAAACTCCAATTAATTACAGACCCAGTTTTGGAGGCGTTTGATGCATAATGATAAACTATGCGATACGATAAATCATAAAGTAATATATTGAACTGCGAGTCAGTGAATGGCGCAGAATGGTTTATCACGGTACGTCAGTACGGAAGTACTCTTTGTTGTACAAGTTATAAAGATAATTATAACGGATATTTGTATGAATCACGCGTGTCAACAACAATCGCCATTGTTCAAGTGTGAAGTAGAATGTAAACTATTCTCGTAGTCGTTAATAATATAATTTAATAATTACTATCGTAGGGTCACGCAACAGTCTTCGCAGTTGCGCGAATGGGGAGGTCCGTTCGGGTAAGTACCACGATCTCAGAGATGACCGGCGTGAAGTGAAAGAGTTATAATACTGCGTTTTGTCTTTTGAGTGAGGTAACGGGGGCCCACTTTATTTAAAGGTGGCAATGACTGCAACTCCACGGTTATCACTTCACATCAGGTGAACCGGTAGTTCGCTGGCCATCTTCTTGCATAAAAAAATAGAGCGTGAATTGTTAACTCAAGCAAACAATGATTAGCTGTTGATTTTAAGAAAATATTATGCTGGTTTACATAAACTTTAGCGCGAAATGGAACTCGTTCGCATTGTAAAGACCACTTTCGAGTATTATTATCAAGATTCTTCCGCACTTTGCGACGCGCCCCCATCGCTACCGCGCCCAAACGCCGGTCTAGACAAGGATTTAAATGTTTTTTTTGTTTCATAGCCAATGTAAGATTGAGACTATTGAGTTACATTATTTTGACGCCCGGTTTCTGAAACACTGATCATCGTAGATGTTAACTAATCAGCTGTCAAATGGCTTTTCAAATATCATTTGAGGATAAAAAGGAAAAAAGATGGTAAAACTGTTTGAATAGATCATTCTGATCATTAAGAAGATAATTCTGGTCAATTCAGAGAGTTAAACCAACCCCTCGTGCAATTAAAATGAAATTTGAACAGTCATTTGACAGCTGATTAGTTGACATTTACTATGATCAGTGTTTCAGAAACCGGGCGTGAGATTTTAAAACTTGTTTTCAACTGCTAATAACGCGTTATTGTCGTTTGTTTTGCAGTTTAAGGCGGTCTGGTTTTTTTCCCGAATTTTTTAAGAGTACAAAATTCTTAAATTTAGTCTGAAAATTGTATCAAATATATATCTTAGCATACAAACATAATTTTGTGTAGTTATTTTGTATAAGTATTGATAATATAATATTATGTAGTAGTAATAATTAACCATACAATAAAATTTAACATTACAAGAATTTACAAGACTGGAAAATTTTAGTGGAGGTAAAGTATATAGTAAAAACAATAGTCAAGACAATTATTTTGGAGTACTAAACGCAAGGACCACATAACCCACGGAATGATCCCTGGAGTTAAAATTTAGAACTATAAACAACTTGGTCATCTTAACTAGCTTTTCGACCGCGGCTTCACTTGCGTTGAAGACCTTAAATAAATATCTTTCAATCCTTTACAACACTTTTTCCAATTAAAACATAGCCCATCGGTGTACCAAATTTCTTCAAATCGGTTCAGTAGTTTTATATTGAAAGCAGAGACAGACAGACAAACAGAGTTACTTTCGCATTTATAATATTAGTATAGAGAAGTAAATATTTCGTACTTCTATATGAAAGATAGAAATTATGCAACTTCAGCGCAAACAGCCTAATTTCCAATTCGCAAAATTAGATTCACCAGAGCCGATATCCAAACATCAAATCATCCTAAAAGCTTAGTTTAACATACGATCGTTGAAAAAATTATAATAAAACGGCTGCTTACTTCAATATTTATATCATTAGAGTTTTATGATCTGCTTTAAATATTTAATTCTGCATTTGGATGAGTGCAGACACGAACGGGCCTATTTTAAAAGCAGCTCTCGATCGGAGAACGCGCTAAGCGAGCTGGCTCAGTATCCATGTGCGATTTTGTTCCGGCTACGGAACATTCCGGTCCTCCTTGAGCGACACCACTGAATACGGACCCGACCGCAATCTTTTAGATCATCGCTTATATTATACGGACATAACTGGTAGCTTTATGGAATTAATGAACATAATGCAGCAATATGTCTATGTATTCAGATGAAAAGAAGAATCGATTCTTTATTCTTAGTTAAAAATAACAAATTTAAAGTTTTTTATGTAGGTATTCTTTTATATGTAGGTATTGAAAGATGTAAAGTCAAGTAACAACCTATATACATATGTCTCCATGCTAGGCTGCCTTTTTTGTTATTATTTTGAAAGTGTGATGGTTTCCTCATAATATTTTCCTTGACCACTTGTTCAAATTTAACTTGATTTCTGAATAG